TCATTGACAAAGTTAACATTTCTTATTTTAGTCACATTGTTTCTACCCATCAAAACTTTCATACGAACTAATATGGATTGCGTTATGTTGTACTCGGTTTAATCTGAACTGTAGCAAATGTACGAGAGCTGGTTTTTCCTTCGGCATTAGCTGAAATTTCGGGTTTTAAATTGCAAAAACGCCCTTATGTTTCATAAAAGAGAAAGCATCTTTAGCGAATTTTATCGAAGGTTCTGTGGGACACGTTATCGCTTTGTGCGTCATCGTATGCCCGCATGTCTGCTCGCCAGAATTGGGAGGTGCGGCCGTTCAACTCTGTGTGCAGCGACCGTACAAACAGTGACCAATTATCAACCTCTGTTTAACCTAATCCCCCATCCTGATCATGAGTAGCTCCCTGTGTGTACACTTGATCCGCAATATACGTCCTGAATAAACGTGCTCCGTGCTACACGTCTGTTTCCCTTATAGCTGGGCTATAGCTTAGCTGGTTCTAGAAGCCTAGCTAGATGTATGAGAATCTGCCTTAGAGATTTCTGAGTCAGTCAGGCTTTACTAGAGTAGCAATCCGCTACAGTTCTTATCAAGGATAATATATTTCATATTTTATAACGTTTATTTGTTTTAATTAGGATAAAATGAGGCTAATCGACGTTGAAGAGGTATTAAAACAACAGGAAACAGAATAACTCACTCCTTCTGAACCTCTTTTAGCTCGTTTTCAGATTTATTGGCTCGAACCTCATGTTGGGCGCAGTTGGCTTCTGAAGCGGCTAAAGAGGACTTTATTTGCTCCAAGTCTGAATTGTAAACTTCGCGAAGGCGATTGATATCAATACTGTAATTGGTACGAAGACGTGTAGTTTCTTTTGCTAAAGTTCTGTTGTGTGCTTCCAGCAAACGAACCTAGGCAAGACAACGTATTTCTATTAACGAGTCTGTTCCTTTGCATAATTTACTAAATATTCTTCGCAAATTGTTTGGGACTTCTTAAGTACATGTTAACCTCTTATAAAGAAGGTTTCTATGAGCATATATTCCTCGGCATTGTTTAGAAAAATCGATAAGACGCTGGCGCACGTAGTTCAAGGTCCCATTGTCCATGCTTTATCTCAGAATGAGCCTGCCTTCCTTTTATTATTATTATTGATAATTAGAATGGACAAAATTGTTAGCACTCTATTAATATGTTTACTCTTCGAATGATCAGACTAGTAATTAAACACTACACCACTCTTTCATAAAATTTCATGCCAAAATACACTGCAAAATGTAGCGACCAATAAATGAGTCTGTTTTTTCAGTGACTTGATGGTGTTTAAGTAAATACATTTCATCTTCGCAATTTGGTTTTCGCAAATGCATTTGGATTTTGTGCTCTCAAGGCCGTCAAAAATGGTTTGGTTGTCTTATTCTCATCAGCCAATGTCTTAATTTGTTTAACCAATAAGACCTATTTTTTCTTCCTTCATTTACACTTTCTGTTGTTTTGATTTAATAATGTCAAGGTTACTGCCATTTCTGAATTTCTCTAAAGGCATTCAGCCACCATATCTCTCTTTTTTCTATTCTGTGTTGATAAAATTTTTAAAGCCATAAGAAGTAGCAATTTGGCAGATTTTCCTTGGGCCTCTCATGAAGTAATCTATGAACAATTTCTTATTTTACGAACATTCTGAGTTCTCTTTTCTTGAAGTCTCTAAATATTTATCATCAACCGGCTCAAATCAAGTAGTAACTTACACGTTCAATAAAACTTGATAGTCGATCATTTAACCTCTGGAGTTCGCATTTCTCTCTTCTACATCCCTGAATAATATCACCGACCTCATCACATGGTTGTATCGCTGTGTCGTTGCCAACAACCGTCGTGGTGGAGGATTTAGTCTGCTGTTCCAAAATCTCTCTTTGCATGTGCTTGGTGTTTTCTGCACCATCACCAGTAGAACAGCGTGTTATAACAATTGATTGGCTTGTTGTATAGCAACTTGTCTCTTCCTCTTCTTCATATTCCGCTAATGTGGACGGTTCTTCTATTGTCATCGTCATCGCTGTCCCTAATCCCACTTTACTCCGTGATGAAGAAGGATCCATAGATGATGCGTGAGCTCTAGTTACCCCATTTGCTGACTTATGGAAGGAAGGTTTCGTGTTCTCTGAGGAGGATCCGTTCTTGTCCATGAAGAATATGCAAATGAAGTGAGCTACCGAGACTGAAGTACGCGCAGTTACCTTTTGCGCAATTTCACCTTGTAAGTACACGATGGCTGAAGGTGAGGCGGAGCTTATTAACTCTGATTAGAGGGCAATCATAATGTTTCATATGCCTTTACGGTCATACAGGCCAGAGAGTCTTAGGTTGAAAGACTTAGTCATGAGAGTTTGTGCCAAATGGAAGGATAGGAGACAACTATTGGTATTCGTATTTCCTAAATTATAAATGTTATTGAAGTCGACTTGCAATAGCGGAAGGACGGGGACTCAGAGTTCCAACCTCCAATATTTTTCACCCGTTTTCGAGTTCATTATGGAAGGTGAGTTTCGACACTGCAAAATGACGATGTGACTTAAATAGCCAAACATATTCTAGTTCGCCTTATTACCTCCTTTATGAGTGAAATTATGTTAAAACGTTAAAATCGAAGTAATAATGGGAATCCTGTGCACTGAAATTCATTTTCAGACTTTTCTGCAAGGATAGGTGTCAAATAAGTCCTTTACAAGAGTGAAATTTTCCGTGAGTTCACTTCAACTACATTAATTCGTGTGTTTAGTTCAAGTTTCACCTAAATTGGTATTATTTGGAAATCAGTGGAGAAGGTGAGTTATTTCATCCCTTTAACTTTCTTGAGAAATAAAATTGTTAGTTAACTTATCTTAAATGCCATTTCCTCACAGCTCAACGTATAACTCATCCATAAAGAAAAAATTTATGTAAAAGAAACCTTTAGAAACCAAAGAGACGAAAGATGCTGAGGCATTTGACAACTCTGTACCAGAAGAGTTCGAATACGGCTATTTACATTTAAGGCAACATAAGTTGCTATTAAAATTAACAGTGAGTAACCGGTAAAGCTTGAATTTAGTAATTAAGGTACTTAGGCAAGCAACGAAAAATACCTCTTCAGATTTTAATTATCATTTACTTATTTCAGCTGTCTACCTATTCCAACAACAAATGCTCTAGCTTGATTGTCACTTAGCCGGACTCTGCTACTTCCTCATTGATATTTCTGTACATTTCTCTCCAAAACCTGCAGGTCAAATCCTATCGACAAGCCCTCCCGCAAGATTCTCGCACCTTCGACGTTAAACCTTCTCACCTCCTATATTTAACTCACTCTGGTAAGTATCATTAAAATTTTCATATGGTTTTGAGAGGCGGGCCGTTGTTAACATGGTAATAAGCTCTAGACGAATGAAAATGTCTAAAATATTAATTCAATACAACAAATAGCAATACCTGTGGATTCAATTAGGAAAATTCTTTAGCTAACCGTTTAAAATGGATGCGCTTAAAACACATTTAGGTCATGAAATACAAGTAGATACACTCATACCACAGATACTATGTTTTACAAATGAAATATGTCTAATAGTATCTTATATTCTTTTTAGAACAAGTCACCTATATGAGCACACAGCTATTCCAATTAAAAGGTGTTAATAAAATGTGGTTGCTTAAGTCCATAGAGGAAGTTATATACATAAGCATTGAGTAAACCTAAACGGTTTTGTCTGAGAAAATAATCTCGAATTAAATTGTTCCAGAAATCAATTCAGCTGTCTCAACAATATCGAGTTAGCAGAAAGTGTAGAGTGCACAACGTTTATTGGAAATTATTTTCACTGAAAAAAACATGATCAAAAACGAACACATTTGAAGCAACTTTAAAAAAATATTACTTGCTAATTAGCTGAGAAGTTCTCGCACATACGTCAATGCCTTCCAGAATCTTTGGGCCCATATGAGATTCCTTAATTTAGACATGTTAGTATTATGATCCCAGCTAATCGGTTATCTTCTCAATTGTACGCAAGATAGATGAATTTAATGTGACAAAAGCTGGAGCGAAAAAGTTAAATCTTTCGTAAAATACAATCACATGATTTCAATGCACTTTATGATGTGATGTCAGCATAATATTTGGCCATCATCAAAATTCACGATATATATATGTATATGTATATATATATATATATATATGTGTGTGTGTGTGTGTGTACGTGATATTATCACATTAATGTTCTCCATTTGTTATATAATCAAGGTTGAAATCAATAATATTTAATTTTAAACATTCTTTGATATTGTTTACATAATAAATATATTATAAGGAAAATTGAGTGAATAAAGAAATTATTCTCCCGAAATGTTAATATTTTTGTGTTATTAAAATTGAAAATTTTGACTTCGGTTTTTATTGGTTAAAATTGTATATTCACATTAGCCCTGCTTTTTTGTCTCAATATATCGGTTGTTTTCGAACATGGGTTTTGGAATCGTCGCTATTGCCTATATTTCTGCCCTTCTGTTAACTATTGCGTTAATTTTCTTTGTGATTTATCATGTAATTAGGTGTTGTTTCTTAGTAAAACATTTAGATAATTGCCTTCGATGAACTCAAGACGGATTACAAAAATCCAGTAGATCAATGTCGGAATCTTAATCCGCTTGTTCTTCCCGAATATTGCTTACACGCGTTCATAACGCTTATGTTTCTCTTTACGTGGCAATTGGGGGCGGTTATTGTTAACATCCCTCTTTTGGCTTATCATATACACAGGTTTAAGACCCGTCCTGTTCGATCGGGAGTTGGACTCTATCATCCGACTTCAATCCTTAGTAGCTATGAACTCAATCGTGCTATGAAGGAAGGTTGGGTGAAGCTTGCCTTCTATATTCTCACTTTCTTCTATTATCTATACGGGTAGATTTTTGTATTTATTACTTAACTCTACATTCTAGAATGATTGCCTCTCTCATTGCCTAAGCTGACTGATTCAATTCGCGTTGTTTTCGGCGTTCTTCATTGTTCATTTCTGTACACACGGCATAATATAAATTCTGGATATTAAACTTGAACTGACTCTTACTTCTTTATCTTGTGTTTTAATAGTATGCCAATCGTTTCTCTATTTTTTAGAGCATGTCGCTTTGTTGCTCACTTAGTAACGAAGTTCCCGAACAGCCTGTCCTTAGTCCACGTTCAGGCCACATTTTTGAGCGTCGTCTAATTGAAAAGTATCTTGCAGAGACAGGTGTTGATCCTATCAACCAACAACCCCTTTCTGCAGATGAGTTGATTGAGGTGAAAGCATCACCCCTGGTGCGTCCTAAACCACCTCATGGAACTTCAATTCCTGCTATTCTCAAATCCCTGCAGGATGAGTGGGATGCTGTTATGCTCCAATCTTTCACTATGCGACAACAGCTTCAAACAGCGAGACAGGAGCTCTCACATGCATTATATCAACATGATGCGGCTTGTCGTGTCATCTCTCGTCTAATGAAAGAGGTGACTGCTGCAAGAGAAGCTCTTGCTACGCTTAAACCACATACTGGCATTGGTGCATCGTCGACTCAGCCCTCTACTCAAGAACAGGAAACGACAAAGGCGGCTACTATTGACAATTCTAATGTAAGTTGTTTGATAATTGCTTTTTGAAATGCAAGGTACTGGTCGGTTATGAGGATCATTTTTCGTCTCAAGACAGATTGGAGAAAACGTGCTAACCTTTTCATTTCTTTTTGAAGTCCCTTCTTTTACAGCATAATGACTGTTGGCTTTCAGAGGATAAATGCTTGTAAGCTCATCGTAGGATATTTTATCTTGTTATGGTTGAGAGATAATCTTAAATCAATTTAAGTCTACTACCTCTATCAATCACCTCTTTGACGACATATTCAAGTGTCTTTGGATGCTTCGGTTACAAGAATGAGGGTAAGAAATAAATGATGAAAGCAACCAGAAATGACAAGTCAAATTATTTAGCTCTTCATGTGCGAAATGCGACAACCATTCTATTGCTTGTATATAACCATTAGCTTCGATTCGTCCGACTAGAATATGCTTTATCAATATCGTTTGATGGGATTTGTTTTTCGCTTGTCCCACAGCTGTCTTAACAAAGTTTGTTTGAAGTATCTTACCATTTTTGATGAAAAATACATTTAGGATCTTCATAAAATTCGCTCCAGAATGTGGTTTTGCCTTCTAAAGCTATGATTTGATCTATCCTACTAAAATTTCTCTTATTTTCTATGAAATTATAGATCTTTTCTAGCACATGCTTCTGATAACTCGATAGAAGTTCTTATATTTTAAAACTGGTTCACTACTTCACTCAATGGTAACGCCTTCGTAATTGATAGGTCAAGCTCTCTATTACAGTTGTAGTTAGTTAAATGTAATGCTTTATTATTTTTTCGCTTTTTAATAGGAAATTTTATTTAATTGGTTATTATGCAACTATGCAGTTTTTCTCCTATTTAGCTTCCAGAAGCGATAGGACTTTCTGAAGAGATAATCACTCAATTGCAAGAACGAGCAGCTCAATTGACCGATGAACGAAAGAAACGAGGAAAAACTGTTCCAGAGGGTTTGGCCAAAGCTAGAGATATCTCAGAGTACAGGCAAATTGCTTCACTAGTGGGCATCCACTCACCCAGCGTTCCTGGCATTCTCTGCTTGGATATCAGCAAGTCCACACCTGAACGCATTATCACCGGTGGTAATGACAAAAACGCTGTCGTCTATAACACACAGGCTTCTCAAGTACGTTTAAACTCTGATGTTGTGATGTGAAATGCGAAGTACTTCTAATGGCTGTTGTAATATCTCCACTTTTTCGTGCATTGACATATACAATTGTTAGTTTAGAATTTTACACCCGTTTCATGCACTTTCGTTTTGCCAACTTTTCGATATAAAGTAAGTATTCAATCTCCTTACCGATAAGAATATGTTCAGCATTGATGTGGTAATGTAGTGTGGTTAATGTGTTTCTGGTGATGAATTGAAAGCCTGAGTTCTACTAACAGTCATTTCACTTGAAATTTTGTAAAATGTTTAAGATTATAGACTTCTCCCTTGTTTTTTTGTGAATCATCCTGGCCATGGAGTTCATTTGCACCCACTCTTAAGGCATAATTTTTTAGCAGAATCAAATTGTGTACTAGGCATTAAATTTACTTTTGAAAATCACTTGCCCCTAGAGTACTATTTTCTCCCATATTCGAAAGGGCTCTCGAGTCAACAATATTCGATGTAGAAATTTCACACAAAGTAGTAGAGAGACAAAGGATATGACGTAGATATTTATTAGAAGAGTATAAAGGTGAAATCTGGTTATTAGAACCTAAATTGAATATTTTTTGGACAAATTAGAGTGTAGATTAATGTACTCGATCAGGGTAAGCACCATATAGTAATAACTAATGGGGTGTGCCGCAAGACTATACGTCCTCAAAACTGTCAAAATAGCATAAACACTGTTTTTTCCCATTGGACTTTATCGTTGGTCTGTTCTCGTTTAATCAAGTTTTATTGTTTCTATATCACTGACTTAAGGTGGCAGTAAAGACTTTCACCTTTGATTCATACTGCTGTACATTGTTATCATTTTCGTGTAGGTGGTTTCTATCCTGCGCGGTCACACTAGAAAGGTGTCTCGAGTGGTCTACCATCAGAATGAACAACTAGCCTTTACCGCTTCACCTGACTGCACTGTGCGTGTATGGGGTATTGAACAAGGCCAGTGTGCCTCTGTCATCCGTGCTCATTCCGGTCCCGTCACCGGTCTCTCCTTGCATGCTGTAGGCGATTATCTTCTCTCCTCATCTTCTGATGGTCAGTGGGCAGTAAGTGATCTTGTTAGAGGTCAAGTTCTGGTCCGTGTCCCGGTTGAGAAAAATGGCTTGCTTCAAGGACTTACAACTGCCCAATTTCATCCAGATGGTCAGATTCTAGCTACTGGTACAGTTGATGGCGAAGTGAAGATTTGGGATATTCGTGAGAGACGCAATGCTGCCAATTTCTCTCATGGTGTCGGTACTAATCAACCACTTACTGCTGTCTCCTTCTCTGAAAATGGATACTATCTTGCCTCTGGTGGCTCTGATGGTCAAGTAAAACTCTGGGATCTGCGAAAGTTGAAGAATTTTAGGACTCTGGTAATGTTTTGGCTTTTACCATGCATATGTGGCTAATGGGTAGAGAGTAAAACAGGCGTGAATTATGACTTTCGTAATTGCTGGCTAAGATTAGCTTTCGCTGAACATATTAACTCCAAAATATTGAGAATTTCAGGTTTCAGTATACCGAAATTTAGTATGTAAGCATATAGCGATTTACCTTGTGTAGTTTTCTAGAGAATGTCTCTTTTTCATATCAATACAGTCACTTAGCTTTACCATTCTAGTAACTTTTCTAAAATCACCGCTTTTCAGTTACTTTATTGTTATTAACCTTTCACTACTTTCTCATTTAGACACCAGAAATGGAAAAACCTGGATCGACGTACGAAATTCACGACCTTGAATTCGATCAGTCGGGCACTTATTTAGCAGTTGCTGGGAGTGACGTTCGTACCTACTTGTGTAAACAATGGGATCTGCTCGCCGTATTCTCAACACATACCTCACCGGCTACTGGCGTTCGCTTTGGTCCTAACGCCAAGACAATTACCTCTTGCAGTCTGGATCGTACTGTTAAAATCTTTGGGGAAGGGGAAGGCCTTGAGAATGCTCCAATGGAAACTTAGTTTAAATTCGGACTACCACGTCATCATTCACCGAATTGTGAAATTTTATAATAATGTGTCAAAGTCATAAAGTTTTTACATAAATCTATTTGTCTTTTGTTTCCGGTCTTGAAATTTGTGGGCGATTGATTAAGATGGGCCGGTAGTGGCGTAGTCCTTTGATTTGGAGCCAATTCTGTAAGAGTATTGGCTAAAATATAAAATGGTAGGTATTTTGCAACTGCTAACTGCCGCATTTTCTTGTATTAAAGTAAACTAGTTTCCTCTCTACGAGGATCTTGTGTCAGGCTCATATATTCGTATCGACTGTTGCTACAGTCGCAGTGAAGTTAATACTCTGCTCTTACATTACAACGTAATGGCGAATCCTTTTATGAGTTTATGAAAGTTAAACCCCCATTGAATCGATGGGTTTTATGCGGTCAGATACAACCAACGAATAAGGTATCAGAAGCCTATTTTATCAACAGCTAACAAGGGTGCAGGTGTGTCATTTATAGAGGTGATTTGTTAATGTTGGTGTAAGACCTAATGGCTAGCAGTGGTTACACAACTTACCCCAATCAGGGGGCTAGAGGTTTGAATGGAGGGCAAAAATATGGAGACGAAAGGATGGAAATGATGATTGGGGTAGACGGGGAACAAGGCGTTGACGCAGTATGTAGAGAATCTGAATGGATACGTCACATTCAGGTGGACAGCAATAGAAATTCAGCATATGGCAGTTGTAAAGTGAGACGTATTAGTAAGTAGAAAATACATCCTTCAGGTCCATTTCATGACACTAAGTCTTCATCCTGGGTTGTGCTATAGACAAGGTAGTCTCAGGGTGAGAAGCTCTTATTCCGCAAGTAATCTTCACCTGACCTTTCTGGCACATTAGTATGCGGTAGCACTTTGTTTTGACAATTAGGAGAGCTCGGCCATTGTCTGTTCGTTTGTCGAATGACTTCCAATCGTCAGCTTCATGAAAAAGCCCCTCTTCCCTATAAGCCGAATAAATGAACCGCCTTGGTGATAAAGCACTTTGGTCGGTAAGTTCCACTGGGTCCGGTTCCTAGCCAGAGATCTAGGTACCGACAAAAATTTATTGTAAGTGTTGGAAACGACCAATAACGGATCAAATTACCATGTCCTTTGTTTACAAAGAACCATATTAAACGAATAAGACGGAGATTAGAGACTGCGAATGAGTAGTTGGGACAACACAGACATATTACCATAGTGATATCTTCAACACCGTGGTTACTGTGTCCTTGTTATGCTCTCATCAAATTCAGAGTCCTCCGCAAATTTGAAATGAATACCCGTGTTTTCGTTCATTAAAAACTGCCTCCTGCTTTGGTAGACGCGGTATCTGCCACAATGTCACCAGCATATATGCCAAGACAACTATCGTTCAATATCAGCGTTAACACCATATACCGCTAAGCGTAATTTAATTTAATTTAAGGTTTGACGATGAAACCTGTCTTATTACCGAGGTCACAAGTACGCTTCTGAAGAAATGGTAGATGGTTGAACAAGCAAGCTAAATGATTATTTGCTGGCACAAAGATCAACCATGATACAATGAGCACACTGTGGGACTAACGAGAATGCAGGACTAGAGATGTGCTCAACCACAATTGGCATTTTACTGGAGAAGTAACCTTAAAGGCAAGACGTTTGTTTTCTCACACGCTGTTTGTTAGGCAATATTTCTATATTACTCACACAAACTTCACACGTTGACTTATTCAAGAGATGGCAATCATTTAAAGAATCATTTACTATTCTATTAGAATACCTTGATATACTATAACGGTAGAGTATTTAATACAGAGGAAGGAGGTGTAAAGAACGAGTGATTCGAATGTCTAAATGGGAGGAACCTTTAGAAGGTCATTAGAAGAAGGCTCTATGGATGGGAGTATAGTACGCAGGAGAATACAAAGCGAATGGGACCATACAGACGAGAAACAGAGAACCCATTTACGACTACCACAGGCACGATGAAATCGAATCTCCTCTTCGCTCAACCATACAACTTGAACAAATCCAAAGAAGAAAGCAGAGAAAAGGGCAAGTATCGTGAACATCAGTATCTGCAGTCCTGTACATCTTTGAGAGGGGGTTGATACTGAGAGGCTAGGAGTAGGGGGTAGGGAAAGAATTCTTGAATGGAGGTTTTGTAAATTCGCCAGGGAATTTCGAAGACGTGCTCGCAAAATGTGATTGTCAGTGAAGGATTCAATGGAATCCCCAAGCACAAGACCGTGGCAAGGGTCCAACTCCGAAGCGTGTTCTAACAAGTCCTGAATAAAATAAAGAAAAAAATAACTGGCTGCAAGCACTGTATTTTCATACCATAAGTAAGGGGTGTGCGATAGACTTACCTCCACATGGTGCACCCTGGGTAAGGTATACTGATACGGCAAAGAAAGTCTATTATTCGGCAGTTGATTTCTGACCTCAAACTACCATGATCTCATTGTATGTCATAGTCGACCGCTTCTACAGAATTCACCTTACCCTACTCTCATTGTGCCTGTCTCTTTTATATCTGCAAATCACTCTTCGGTCCACCCTCTTGAACTTTGATGTTTCTCCCCTCTGTGAAATTTAAAATCAGCTAAGAGCTAATGATAACTATCAAAATGCCTGCCATTCGAAATAAATAAATACCATAAGTAAGCATAAACTCCCAAAATTTTATTATGAACAGGCAAATTAAACTTGGGCGAACTCTGGTCGTATCAAATGCCCACTCTTATATGTATTTGATTATAAATAAATTGAAGTGATCAGTCAAAAAAATTGTTCATTAGGCTCCGAAAATTCGGAACATGAACTCACCCAAATACCTGGGGAACAAATTATAAAATTTTAACATTGTTAGCCTGACTACTCCCTCGTTCAATACCTTATTGGATCACTTGGTGTCACTCGTATTTTAATGTTTACTAATTAAAAATTTGTGATCGCATAATAATCAGTTTCTCATGGAATAATGTAATCGGTGGGTAATTTGGGGAGTGATGGTCTTTACACGACAGCCAATTTCATTCGCATTGCCTAGACGAGAGAAGGGTTACACTAATCAATTCTAGAGATAAACATCTAGTCAACTTCCAAGCAAAGCACTTTTCCTTTAACGATCTATTTATTATTGTATTTTCAGGTAGAATTAACCAATAACTCTAGATCTTACAGTTAAGAACTAACTTTTGCAATGTCATAGGGAATATGAATAATACCTGGAGTTTTTTCATCATCACATCGATGGTAAATATATCCTGTTTGACATTGGAGACATCCGTGTTGTTTTCTGCGACACCAACCAATTTTTCCACCAAGTAATCGGCCTCAGCTAGCAAAAGTTCTGTTCGAACTTTAACTTCCTGGAATACTTTCTCTCTCTCATCAGAAAATGTCTTTAAGTAATCAGATAACCGCAATTGAGATCGTATTTTGCGCATTGCGTCAGAACATCTGTAGCGATGAATCAGTTTTTGAATTTTAACCACGTGCTACTAATAATAAGTAAGTAGGTGAACAAACCTGGAGGCAATCGTATCCAGCCAAGAAGGGAAAAAGACAAGCAGACCATGATCAGATGCAAGAAGTTTACTGCTCTGACTTTCGAAATCAGCAAAACGCTTCTGGTGTTTGGTAAAAAGTTCATCAACTTCACGCTGCCAGCTTTGTACTTTCTCCAAACTTGACTGTAAACCGGGGAAAACGAGGGGGTTTTAAAGTTCACAAGGAAAAACAATAATTTTATTAATGGTACCGATCTTCAATGATTGAAAACCTCCAAAATCTCTCCATCCCCATTTCACTAATCCCATTATATATGAAATTCATCACATAAGAATTAATAAGAAGGAAATGACTTCTATATTATTTAAAATTGTGTAGACATTGTACTGAAAGCTTCTTACCTCCAAATCATGAAGATGTCTATTTAAACTCTCGCGAATATGTTCAGGTTGCAGACGACAAAGCGATTTTGAAGATGAAGGATGTTCCGCAGGGGTTGAGGAGCAGACTGACGTCTCAAGGACAGAAAGCCACTCAATCAGTTTGGATCCATCCTGGAATACTTTGTGGAGCCTTGTGGAGTCCGTCTGTGACAGACGTAAGGCAGAGGCTAAATTTGCTAGCTAAAATTAGTACAAAAATGAATAGCAAGTTAGTTAAAGGAGTCTGTGCTGAAACAGGGGAACCACAAGGAACGCGGTTTAAAATAGAAAGTGTCAAGACGGAAATATTACAATAATGTGAGTAAATGAGTGTAGTAAGCATTTCTCATTGGGAAAATACAATTTTTTACATTTCTGCCTGCTACATCTGCCTTATATTAATAAAATTAGCCCATTTTCAAAATTTTAAGGTCATAGTGAAGGGTAATTTTGAGTCTATTGCGAAAATAGGGCATGAGGCTAGTAGGCAGGAAAAGGTAAATCCAATCAACTAATTTCTCAGTAAATAGTGAGGTGACCGGATAAATGTTAAGTAAATCTGCCCAAACCCTCTTCATTTTCGGGCTTCTCAAAAGCAGTCATTGATGTGTTAATTTAAATACATGACTTAGTCATATATGCAGTGAATAAACAGTATAACACAATTGGTCTTCAGTAATACAAGTGTAAAAAGCACCGATGCTACAAGGGGATATGACCATTCACAAAGTGGCATTATGCAGAAAAAGTTGTTCCGAGGGAAGATGAAGGATGTACTAACCTGTGTCATAAAAATAAGCTTCCATAATGGCAAACAAAATAAAATGAAGTGCACGGCAGACGAATATCCATTTTCTTAACTTTAAGAAACCCAATAGCCTTTCATCACATAGAGGGATAAAAATAAACAGCGGTCGTAATTGAAGATAAGACCTCCATAAGCCAAGAATTTGGAAGGAAGAATACTATTTATGTTGACTAAGGAAATTTACAACCCCTTAGGCCCCTGAGATTTAGACAAGGAAATAAAAACCTTGGAAGGTTAGATCGTGACGTAACGATATATAGCAACTAAGCGACCTGATGACTTCAGCAAACGGAGGAAGCAAGGCATCTTACCTGAACTACCATACATGCTCCTAGTGTTTTGATTTCTCTACAATATTTTAAACTGCAACTTTTGATTTGCGACAGGTACTATTAGTAAAGACAAATAAACAAAGCCGATTTTGAATACGTACTTTGCAAGGTTTATAGGAGTAAAAGCAGGGAACAGCTTACATCGTCAGAACGGCGATTAAGCGTAGACCAGTCAGCAGAACATCCATGACTAGTGGTGGCACCAATTAATCGTGCATTAACTGCCGGATCTTCACCATCTTCCAGTTCACAAGTATCACCGTCGTTGCTTGAAATTGTGGCAATGGGTAAGTAGGCTTCATCCATAGTAGTATCCACCAGAATGGCCTGATCGTCAAATGAGGGGTCCTTTAGTGTCTCCTTGAGAGGGCTCAAGTCAACGCCAACATCTCCCGATGCGTTGTCTGTTGTGAAATGGCAATGATTGATATTGGAAACAAAAAGCAATCAAAAGACATGTAGTAACTTTGGGGTTACTTATGGCTTATTAAAAGTGGCAAGGCTAATAACCTGGAAGGTCTTTCTTTACTACATTAACATCATAGTAAACGTGATACGAAGTTTATCTTGAAAGGCAAACCAGCATGTTTCTGAATGTACCGAGGTTTTCTGAAAATCCGACCAGGGCGGTTAAGCGGAAATTTTATTCCATTGAACTATTTTGTAGAACCAAATAGCAAATAACCTGGCAATAATAGTTATTAATAACCTAATAATCCTTTTCCTACCACACACCAAATACTCACCAAAGCAACGATATCATCTTCTTCTAATTATCATAAAACATAAATTCGTGGACTGAAACCATCCATTCAAAGCAACCCATGAGCGATTAATAACCAGTAGACCGCAATGGTAGTAAATACCTAACCAACACCGAATTAGAACAATGGCACAAACGCTTTATCTAATTAAATCAATCATTTAACTTTAAGCCCCAATACGTAATATTTTCTTTCTACACTGTAAACCTTTCTTGATTCTATCAAAAAGACGAGCTAAGTCGTTACCATACATTTCAATAAATCAATGAGTTGAAAGCCCATTGCCTTTTCACATTTTTAAGCTAAAAATGGAAACCTACAAAAACTGCAGCTGAAGAAAGCAGTAGGATATTCAACTGCGTACGTAGATGGATGGCATAAACAATATTTAGATATTGAAAAATGACGACAAAAATTCTTTAAAACCTGAGAGAATTAATGAACACGGTGAAGGATTCATAATTCCAAGGATAGAATTCCGTTCTAAATAACTCAAAAGCAAAGACCTTAAAATTACGCATACACTCAATACTCAACTTTACAAACAGAAAGACAACATGGTCCCAACTAACTAGATAGAATCGGTAGACTACGACACAAGCATCCTGGTCTTTTTGACACCACGACATCGTCGTAGCAATCTTCAGTCATCTCCTCTTCCTCCTGATCTGATGGCTCATGTGACATGAGAGAATAGGAAGTTGGCGAAGTGACGAGAGCAGAATCATCTTCAGGCTCGCCCGCTCCTAGCTGAGAGGGATGATTGGTAAGGTCGTGTTCAATATCATCGTCACTGTCAAGATCAAATTCCGTAACGTCGGCATTGGCAGTGGAAGTCGAGACAATAGACAGAGGACGTCGTGGAGAGGACGTGCAATACGGTCTACCTAAGGGAGCGTCCAGGGTCGCTTCAACACTGAAAGCCATAAAATATCCGTTTACAGATGATCTTACACTATTAAAGTATTAGCATTTAAATATAAAAAACAAGGAGAGAATAACCCTGGCTTGGCTTAGTGGGTGGAATGGGTATTTGATTTTTAGACAACTATTGTGATTTCCCAACCAACATTGGCGTTACATACGTATATAATGAGAAGGTTCACCATGAGAATATTTCAACCATCAGCATGAACTTACGCTAAATATTCCCTTTTAGTCGAAGCAGGAATCGGATTCATGAGGGAAAATGGTCGAGCTGGAATGGAACTCGACCCTTGATGTTGAATGATTTGCACTTGTTTAACTGGTGTGATTTGTTCAAAAGACTTGCCCATTCGATCGCTCGAATTGGGCCGAACTACAATATAAGAAAAGTAGAATGAATTAAGATTTAACAAATGTCACACAAAAATTAAAACAAAAGAAATTTTAGAAATTGTAATTTTGGTGAAACATCTAAACGCAAATACCACAGCCGGTTCTATGATTTAGAAAGATTCAAATTCCACTTAGGTTTCTGAATCTTCAGATTGATGTTATCTGATTTTTAATTTTCACCCGATTTACTTCAGAATTAAACGCATTCAGATCATGTAGAAATTTCGGATAAAACTAGTTTGTCGCTTTAGAAAATTTCTAACTCACAGAAAGAAAGGCGCTAAGCAAGGTCTCTTCTTATTGGAATGGTCAATAAATGTACAATAAAGGGGCTTGAGCCTTTCCTCAGACCAAATTCCAACAAATTATGATTGGACATTAAAATGATAATGGTGTAGATGTTTTATAAATTGAAGGAAAAGTTGGATATCAATTAGGTAAGCTTATTGAAAGGATCTATTATTCAACATCATATTGGATAGTGGCACTCACATGTTATTCGCTGAAATTGAGTTAATGATCTTTGACTTGGTTGATGAACACCAACACATAGGATTTCAATGCTAAGTATTTTAAAGAAGAAGGGTATTTTTCTTACGGTCGAACTCTTCCAGAGCTTAAACCTCTTACTGAATCATATTTATACTCAGCTTATGAGTCGTTGATTCTGTCATTTAGTACGTGGCAAACGAGGGCTTGTAAGGAATAAATTAATAAAAACGTATACGAAATGGAACAAAATCACACATCAACTTGAACTTGAGCTCGACGTTAAAAATAAATTTATTCTAGTGTTAATCTTGTGATGCAGAACACTTGTAAGGTGTCACAGTGAAACTGACCTAGATGGAATCGGGAACGAAATAGCGAGACAAATAAGGCATAATCGATATGCTTACGGAAATAGCAACTAGACACAGAAAATGGCCTGCGCATTCCTAATTGTTTGCATAAAACATGAGCGAATGCATGTGCATGAGACTGTGAAAGGTGAGAATGGAGTAAAATGTACTTACAAATCAAAAAAGTAGTGTGATAGAAAATTATTTGCATCACTAACTTTTCTGTTATGAGCAAACAAACTGTAACTATTCTTGGAATTCGAAATTAAGTACATACATCTTACGTCCTTCAATGTAAACTTCGAAACAAGGGCGAACTTGAGTAACGTACACAAAAACGCTAAGCCTTATTTGTTTAAAGAAAGTTGTAGTTAGATTCACTAAGCTTGTAAAGAATAAATTAGCGTACCATATTGAATTAAATGATGTAACGTGTCTAAGAACGAAGACTGAATACATAAGTCAAGTGAATATGAATTGGCTTTGGATAGTAGTACGAACGCTGATGCGTGTATTTATCTGGTTCCCCGATAGAAAAAGTCAACCGCTTTTAACAATTTGAATAATTACTTGCCAAATCAGACATTGTGACACCGGCATGGATTAACAAGATAATTCCAAACCATATTGTGGCGATCTAATAAAAAATCATAAGCAATTTTCACCCTCTTATCGATATAAAGAGGTAAGTTGCCCTTTTCATTTGCGTTGTTTCTTGATCCGCCTTCTATTTTCCCACTGAAGTTTACTAAAGAGCTTAATAACGCTCTAATGCTCGCCGAATAAAAATAAACGATTAACCAGGAGACCTGCAAACACCTTTGCCTGAATGTGTCACCCCATGAGTCTCGAACAGTGTCACTAATACAGCTAAACATATCTAAACAAGCTTTTATATCAACAAAATTGAGCAAACATGCGTTTCCTTTATTCTAAATACCACATAAGAAACAGGAAGCTCGGTATGGTGATACAATATGCTTTATTTACTAAATTGGGCAAATATTCAATAAAGTGAAATGAAACTTAAGCACTCGGTAAAAGTGCATATATACTAGTGAATTACTTTTCTTTGATAACTGTAAATCGCAGCTCACGCAGACTAACGGCGTCACCATACACACTGATAAAATCAGGAACATGGATTCCTCAGTCAAACGAATGTGAGCATTTCTGAAGAGCGACCATGAAGATATAGACAAATACAAACCTTCGCTCTTGAGAACTAATATCTGCAGCTCTCGCCCGGAATACTCATACATCCTCAAGCTTTAAACGTCTTATGGATAGAGAACATTTTTGCTTCAGACCCTAAGATCTAATTTTATAAACCGCATTTTATCAAAATATACAAGACCTTTGAATGAACCAAACACTATTATCAGACAGGTTTCAAGTAAAAGAATCAATACACCTCTAGAAAAAGCCCTAATGGCCTTGAAAACTAGACAAATAGCTTCAGATCTTTAACAAGGAAGCAACATGACGTCAAAACCACATATACCGGGCAGCGTAATAAAATATGAGAATACATATCAGATTTATCTAAACCAATACCGACAAATAAAACAGAAATATAATATTGATCATCAATCTCGCAGTAGAGTCAAGGTATAATAAAAATAAGTTTGAAGTCTCCTCAAAACATGAAACATATAACACCTTTCGCAATGTGCATTTCCAGAAAGAGGCATGAATTCAAGTAATTGGAAATTTAAATCATGTACGGAACTTGGCTTATTTCGGAAAGCAAATCATTAAATCAAAATAACTTTTAATTTATACCAACTAACCCTTAGAGGACTGGCAAGGAGACACTAGAATATCAGAAGGATGACTGAATGACCATCTCCGATTGATTTTGGAAAGAGTGGTGAGTTTACAATCATCCCTACGACGTCGTAGAACATTGTCCGAGTCACTAACGAAACCAGACTCGCCACTCGTTTTGAAGTGAATTCGTGGAGAAAGGCGGTTAGTATCGTCCACATCTATGCAACTACGAAGGCACACCAGACACGTGAAACAGGGCTCGGATATGGAAGAGGGTGAACGCTGAAAGCAAAGACACTGTCTTCCATGGTCTGGATTTGACCAAATGGATTGTGGAAGAGAAGAAGAACGAAGTTTAGTTGAATTGAATTGCGGAATAAGAGGCAGCTAGGAGGAAGACAAAATAATACGTAATATCAATACCTTTACAACCAACAACCAAGTGAATAGAAATGTCTAATCCAGACTTACTTGATTTTGGCTCACTCCACCAAATATCATTTTCAAAGTCTCAAGCAGTTCAAACTGTCTTAACCAAACTTCATGAACACGATTAACCAGCTCTACGATCTTGCTCTTTGTCAAATGGACGATGGCAAGCCCTTCAGTTGAAAGGTCGAACCAGGGCTTCTCGGAACTCGAACCCTCCAAGTATTGTATTAGCTTCTGCAAATTGCCTAAACGGCGAGACAGTTTCTTTAGCCTTAAATTTTCAACCTACAATAAAAATAAAAATGCGAATATACTTATGAAGCCAATAGAATATTCTTATACTCCTAATTTGCATGTGACTCATCGAAGTCGATGGAAGCTTAATAGGTGCAAGAAGTGCATAAGAGGTAAGTTGTCGATTCTTGTATTCCCGAATTTTCATTGACAACCAACCAAATTCTCCTATTCTTTTTTGGGGAATATGGAGCAAAGAAGATCGACCTCTTCAGTCTTTTTACAGTTTCGAGGCTGAATAGGCATTTGGAACTAAAGCGATCACTTTTATATTGCAGGTAGGGAAGAAAACATATAATTATTAGTAAGATAGAGCAAAAGTGCTAAAAAATAGGCTTCATTTTAATCACAAATTTCCGAAATTAAGTCTAATTTCGGTGATGGAGGGGCTATAATTCTCACGAAAAGATGTCACCCCAATTAAAGGTAGGTGCTTCGATGAGAAAACAGAAACGATGGTGCTTCGTTCGAGTTTTTATCTTAAATAATTTGGATTTAAAAAGTATTTTAAAGAGTCTTCAGTGGTGTTGCTTAAAAGAAAAATAAGGCATGAATATTACGGGGATCATTTATCGCCTGCAATATTACGGATCTGAAGAACTCTATTACAAACTGAAGGAAAGATGACAAGTGTGCACACTTGTCAGGAAAGAAAATTAAGCTTTATCATCCATGCTCACGTCTGTGAATCAAATTTCATCGCATCCTAATCATTCTCTTTGACGATAAGACAGGCTAATCTTCAAAGGGAGCTAATTTCTAATCAATCCGTAAACCACATGTCAGCATAAGCGTAAACATACCAAAGAAGCGAAGACGTGATGAAATATTTTAAGGTTAACACTCCACATTCATGTTCTTTCTCGATCTTCGATGGAAATGTTTCCCTATATTCGCATAGAATTCTGATTTTCTTCTCCTTTTCTTCAAGTTAACATGCTTAGCGCACCTCGTATAAATGAATTTGCCTTTGCCACAACGCCAAATTGGTATACTCATTTTCCTCTCCAACCACTATAAATTCATATGTGTAGTCAACCGTAGGAGAAGCAACTAGCACCATAACAACCAAAGAAAAAGCAAATGATAAACTAGTTGATTGACTCATTGAGCTGCTGATATTTTGACCAAAATGGGCTTGAGCTAAATAGCATCCAAAACTCCATTATTGTAGTGATGTGGTTCATTGAGAAGAAACTGCAGTTTACTCATCTCCTTTATTGACAAAATTTACCAATACGATTTACTATTTTCTGTCTACGTCAAACCGGTAACCTCTGACTACACAGACGAGCATGCTAACTAATACGCCGTCGTTACTCTGTATGCAAAGTAAATCAATCATTACCAAAGGACAAGCAATTCCATAATTAAGCATTAGTTTCACCATAAAAGGGAAGAAAGCATGAAATTTTTATATCATCAAGGCAAAAAGTGTGAAATAATTTGCCTACTTTCATTTCCTCTTTAACACTAAAAGCAAGGATTTCTTGATTAGAGTAAATGGTTTTTTTGATCAAAATAAATTCAGGTGGATGACTAAGGCAGGAATTTAAATGAGAGGCGGGGTCAAAGTGAGTGGGGAGCAGTAGGCAAAAGCAAAGAGGCAAAAAATTTTGGGCATACGACCTGACAATTAAGGACACACGTCAGGTTGAATTGCTGTCTAAAGGTTAAATTCCATGAGGAAGTCAGGCTCCCAGAAAAGGAAAAAAACGTTAGTGCCATTACATCATCACTATCTTATCTAGATGACTTTTTAGCTTAAATACCACGTCTTTGATCGCTTAATACAAATATCAAGTAATTTTTTATGGAAGAGTTTGTAAGACTGAGAAGTAAAATTTAGTTGGCTTCATCTATCCGACAATAGGGGGTTAAAATCTGGAGCCTCCATTGAAATAAGCCCAAAATAAGATCAACATGGTGGATTGAAATAGTAAAAATATAACCTGTGAAACGTCAGTTGAAAAGGTGACCCCTAAGGCCGGCTAAATTTTTATTGCGATGTGAAGTCCAAAGTACTCAACGCCGCAGTTACAGAAGCACTATTTTAGGACCATTTCTGAATATGAAGCAAGCAATATTGGTAAAATAAAACAAAATTAACACCAAAATACCGCAAATACAAGTTTGTATATATGAATTGTATGAATGCTTTGAGTAGGTATCAGAAGACAAAGGCTGGTAAATCAAGTTAAAAAACTCAACTTATACGCGTAACACCCACACATAAAGATCAATACACAAGCGCACTCACCTTGAGTCCGTTGTAAAATGCGGCAATGTTTGGAGCATTAGTTGTCAACACCTGACATTCAATCGAGTGGAAGAGGACTTCTGTTTCTTCAAAATTAGAAAAACAAGTCATGCTTGATTTACTACCAGAAACGTTTAAGGGTAACTAAGATACCTATTTTAATCTGACTTAATGCAACGCATGGGTTCTTAGTCCATTAAAGTAGGTAGCGGGACTCAAGAATTTCCATAGAAGACAATAAAGATACCTTTTCAATGAAGAAAAGAAATCAAGTTGAGCTTAACAATAAACTATTTCAAAGCGTTTCACATTGGAAATCTACATTACAAACATTACACACTAACAGTTACGAAAATGAAATTTTGACCTTAAGCAAAATAAACTATCCGTTTATATTTATTCACACATTTTAAAGCTTTAAGAAATTAAAATTGAATGCTGAGTTCGAAGAAATTCCCACTCAATTTCTGGAATGACAGTCGATAAACTCCTATTGCTTTTTAATAATAAAGAAGTTGGAAATAAAATGGAAGCACATATATAACTTGAAAGATCCCTTTGGAAGAGCATTTCCATTGGCTCCGATTCTACTTTGCTCGCATATGTACTTCATGAAAATTCGAAGCAGGAATGAGAAAGTAAATAAAAAGAGAAATGGCCAATAAACATTCTACAGCAAGTATATGAAAACATATAATCATTCAGTAACAATACCGAAGAAAGCAATCTATAAATGAGGCGTACAAAACAAGCATATGCGCAAGGAAACAAAGCTATTTAATCGAAACTTCAAACATTTATAAGTAAATAAAAATGGCTAGATGGCATTTAAAAAGTCAAAACACACCAGAAAAAACCACACTATTGCACAAAAAACATCAAATAGAATGCGAAAAGGCACTTACTCTCCGAAACATTCGCAGCAATAGATGACAAAGTGGAAATCTCATTCTGAAGGGCTGAAATATTAAAGACTTAAAATCGTTAGGATTTAACAAAAAATAATTAAACCTATTTAATTATAACCGACTTAATAAGACAGAAAGACCACTCAAATTTTCACCGAACGAGCGCAAGTGAAATCCAACCTTATTCCACAGATGATCAATATGCTTTAGAACTCGCATGTAGTCCTTGGCTAGAACCGTCCGTGGAGAATATGAGGCATGCGAAAACAACGGCTTTTGATATGATTCGCCAAGAAATGGTAAAGTCATAGAGAGCGAAACAGGACGAGTAAAATGGGACAGCTGGTCCGTAAAAGAGTGCAGGTGCTCGAAACAACATTCAAATGAAGTAAAGATATCACTAAAATTCTGATATTTTACATGACTTTGCAAAAAATAACTCATCATACCTTATACACTAGGAGCGACTGGACACTCACTGCAATCCAACGACGATTTTGTATGACCCTGATGGCCAATTTCAGCCAGCTTAACAATCTATGCGCCTCAATTTGAATATCAAAGATTGTTTTTAAAAAAGGAATATAATTTAGAGAGTTTGCACCCTTATTTATATCACCGCTCTGAAAGTTAAAAAGTAATGTCATTAATGTTACCTCGGAAGATGCTGAGAGCTTCTTTACAATGTATTCACATTCTTTGACCAGATGTTCAAAGTTTTCCGAAAAGAGGATTTTATCAGGAATCGAACATTCAATGTATTCATTCTATAAATAATACTGCATATTAATAAAACTTACGGAGTCCAAAGGCGAAACACTCAAATCGAACATCTCACATATCTAAAATGAGCGCCCAAAACGTAAGTTATGTGTAAATATGCATTTGAATTAACCTAGTCCTAGGGTTGATTTAAATACAGTGTCAAAATTTTAATAACCCTTGTGAAATTACATATTTTGAAATTATTGATAGTAAGGGTTCAAAATATTTTGCATAAAATATGCTTGAATTTCCTTAACCAACGCTTTATTTTGGATAACATTACCATTTAGTAAGAATAGTGCTAAAATTTTAATAAATGCTTATCTAAAGATCGAAATATATTCCTAAAGCACATTAACGGAAGCAATCCCACATCAAATCTAGATTTTCAACTAAATGTTCTAAATTTAATCCAATAATCAGTGCTCAGCGGTGTGCGATAGACTTACCTCCACGTGGTGCACCCTGGGCAACGTATACTCATACGGCAAAAAAAGTCTATTAACCAGCAGTTGACTTCTCACTTCAAACTACCAAAAACCGACTATTTGTCATATTCGACCCCTACTACAGTACTCATCTTATCTTTTTCTCTACCTTTCTGTCTGTCTGTCTCTTTTACATCTGTGAATCGCTCTTCATTTCCCCTGTCGAATTTTTCTCACTTTAATGTTCCTCCCTGGGGTGTGTGATAGATCCCCACCCCTTCTTTTACATCTGTGAATCGCTCTTCTGATCCCCACCCCTATTTCCGCTACTTTGATGAACTTTCCTTCTGTGAAGACCGAAGTCAGCTAAATGGCTAATGATAGCTATCATAACGCCTGCCATTTGAAATAAATAAATGAATAATCATTGCTCATAAGTCGAGTTTATTAGCATGAATATAGTGAATTCCTACTATACTTAGGCAGCCTCCATACTAGTTCCAACTGATGGCGTAACTGATAAGAAGAGAATTCAGAGCCTCACTAGTCCTCAGGTGACCCATCGAATTATTCGAGATCGAATCAGCCATGAATAGCGTTCAAGGCCAGCTCCAGAACCATGGCGATAGCCAATTCAATGCCTTGGGTGTTGTAACGGAAGGAAATTGAACCGGAAATTTTAACTTATCAATGTATTTGTTCAATCGTAGAATTTACCTCATAACGAACTCTACCACATACTCATATATTTAATAATCCCAGGGATTTTCACTAAGAATAAGCCAGCCTTGTCTCGATTAATCGTGATATTAAAATTAGGTAAGCTTTCAAATAGGTTAGCCTCTATCCGTCTTCCCGTTCCGCATGATAGGTAACAATAAAAAATAACTGTGACTACCTAATGAGAATAGACTTCCACTCCGGCTTATGTCTCCACACTTATCACAGTCGAGAAGCTTCGACTCCACAACAATCCCAAAGTGAGTGAGAAGTCGCTTTCGATCCGAATAAAAACGCATTTATTCTATTTACATACACAAATCTAGTAAAACAGGGTGGTAAGGTGTATGGACAGGACTCCACTTCTTATGTACACACTCATGATTTCTGCTGCCAAAAGAGAGAAACGAAGGGGGGAAATTCCAGGGACATTTCTGGGGAAGGATGGGTGGATGGTAAGGTGTGATGAATTTCCATATAAGAAAAGACAGCCGCAAAAAAATTTCAGTAATAGATGCGGCAACAAAGAGGTAGTAGAAGAGGAGAACCCATGTACGGTCGCTCTTCAGCGCGTGAATTGATTCGTTGCCATAGCAGCGGTAACAGCAGCACTCGCGCAAATGTCTGAATACGCGATCACCCATGCGCACACGCAAATCACACGGCCCAGAGTAGCCAATGGGATGCACGATCGATATGAAGCCTGTGTATGCATACGGTGTGTGAATGAATACGGGCAGCAGGCGTAAGCGCGTTAGACTACTTCGGTATATGCGAGATAGAACGAGAAAGAGGGCGTGTAGCTAGAATGTGTTTTGTATGTGCATGCGGTGATAGCTAGTGGGATTTTCTCTATCTACGTCGCTTTTCTTATACACCCCGAATCAATTAAACGACGATAATAAGCATGTAAGGTAGTCCCGCATGCAGGAGAGTCTGTTGTAAATCCGTCGATAAGAACCGCAATTGAGACGTTGTAAAATCACATGGCGGAAACATGTGCATCACATAAGGATTCTATAAAAAAGAAAACGTAACAAGGTCATTATTTAAAACACGACTCAGTACAATTAAAAAAACGGTAGAACAATAATCTACATAATGTCGAAGTACCACAGACTTTCACAGAACCCCTATATATCTAAGATTTTCAAAGTACGTCAAGATGACCCAAAATGCCCAAAAAATAGCGAACTCTAACGCGTTATTTAATTATGCTAATAACAAAGCTATAAGAAATGAGTATATGGAGGTATATATTGACCAAGAACCATAGGCCAATAAGTTCGGAACATGGGCACGAATTCGATTAAAGGCCAATGGAAGGAGGTAAATCCAATCATTTAGAACACCAGTTCACAGTTTCTAAAGCACCTTTATAAATTCTACTAGAAGTGGTACTAAATATGACATTTTAAGCCTAGGTTAGATAATATAAAACATAATTTAGAGCTTTGAAGGACCAAAAGTAAGCTGATTAATAGGCCAAAAGTGTGATTTTTGCAAATATAGGCGGAGAATAGATAATGAAATCGGAAGCTTATCTTACAGGATTGTTTCCAATGTTAAGTAAACAAAGATTGCCATTCTTAACTACTTAAATATGAAGAAAAATAAAATGTAAATCAGTAAGCAAATATTGCACGGTATAAATATTAAAACTTTGACAAGTCAGTCAAAATACAAAGATCAATCAACCCAAAATAATTAACCGTTCTCAAACTTGTAGCGAAACACAATCCATTCAAATTAACTGTAAGCGTTATGCATTTCTGATAAGATTACTAGGATATAAAAATCCTTATTAGATAATAATCCCAGTCTGGATAATTGTCAGTACAGATTAACTTAAGTAGGGATGGGATATTTGAGAGCAACTCAAGTGAGAAACACACTACACTCCATTTTGGCTACCAGAATTAAGCAGTACGATTGGAAAATCCGCGTCGCTTAGTACACGTTGGTAGGACATTGATCTCGTGATCTCGGATTTGCCTAACTACTGCGCCATAGGGGCAATAAAAGATTAAGCAAAAGTAGCACTCGACTAATGACTAATTAAACAGTAAAGAACCTTATTTGAAATTAAGACTAATTCACAACATCTAGCTACAAGTGAAAACTTTATAGCATTTTACCTCATGACCAGAGGGGCAAGAAATAATTCCAGCGGCAGACTTCTCCTGAAGGTATGATATCATATTCTGAAGGGATACGATCTGTTGCAGCATATCATTCCTCTCAGCAACAAGGTTGTGCATGGAGGATGAAGCCAGAGCGAGACACATACAGTAATTGGATGGCTCTCTCAACTTCCTCTGAACACCCTCCAGTTGTGTGCTCTCCAGGCGCATTCGTTGAGCTATTCGTAGAACACCAGGAACCCCTGGTGGATCCTCGCCACCGGTCAATACGTTTAGACAACTTAGAATTATGTCCTGATTTCCAGCCAAATATAACAAACGTACAGACACTCGATCGTTCTTCAGGGACATGCATCCTCTCCACAATAAAGAGAATTTCTGAAAGCAGATACAAGCCCATTAAACCCACTCAAACGAATATAAAGAATTCAAGCAAATGATATTAGAACTTACATTCTCAAGGAATCTAGGTTCCAATAAGAGATAATTCTCATTTAAAGACATATAACGATTCAGAAGTGGAAGATCCGAATTCGGCGGTGGAACTGCGGAATGTAGCTGAGTGGGAGTTGTATCTAAAAATGATGGCTCCGATTGCCGTTGTTGTTGCTGTTGCGCTTGTCGTTCAATTATGCTCAAAAGGAAGGAGGCGGCAATATCTTGCAATTGAGGCTGAACTTGAGGAGAGATTTGTTGAGCAACAACAGCCGCTGCTGATTCGCCAGATGTTGGAGGAAGAGATGGTGTCATTAGAGTCAACACCTGCAACGGATCCAGGAAATTCTGTGGCGGTGGTGGCACTGATTGTGGTGGGTGATGATCGTCTACTTGCTGTTGTGAGGACTCTATCAATGTCTGCGCCTGAATATGCTGATGATGGTGAACCTGAGATACAACAGGTTTTTTCATAATACTGCCAACTGGAGACTGAACACCACCGCCTCTGTTGGAAAGTAACACGGAAGAACGATCATCAGAAAAGCAAGCTAACTGAGTCACCTCTGTCAGATGATTTGTTAAAGGACTTGGTGCCGATATATGTCGAGACGAAGCTAGTACCTCCGCCTGACCTGAAGGGGCCAAACAAACATCAATATTAGGAGACTCGGGCTTGACTCCTTTGGAGATCGCATTTACAACACTACTGCTAGGAGCTAATGATAGCTGTGTACTACAGATTTCAGTATTAGGAGCCTCCAGCTTGATGTCATTGGGTGTCGTGGTTATATTGCTGCTACCAGAAGTTAACGACAACCTTGAACATATTTCAGCCTTAGGGGCCTCTTGTATGATACCCTCCGGTGTTGGGGGTAAACTGCTGTTATTAGCCGAGGATATTCGTGAACTAATTGAGAGACGTTGAACGTAGTCGTTTTGCTCAAACTCGCCATGAATAACAGAGTTGATAACCTCGGTTACAGTATCTTTTCTATAAGGAGGGAGAGGAATAACTTCTGATTCAGATTCATCAAAATTCGGCTCATAAGGATCAATCGACACAGTGTCTGCCGTCGTTGAAGTCGATGGCAAGAAATGTGTATTTATCTCAGAGGAGACTGGACGAGAAAGTGTCTTTTGGTAGATTGCTGACTTTCTACTTCCACCTCGTCTCCCATTCTCCTCTTGTGATGAGGTGCTATGTGAAGGCTCATCCCTCGAATGTTCAATTAAATGCTGCCCATAGTCACCTACATTTGACGATTTTACAGGTACCACTTCAGATGGCGGCTTATTCTCTACAACTGGAGCCTGTTGAACAAGCTGAGTGGCGGCAGCTGTGGGGTTGATTATTAATTGGGTATGCTGTTGACCACCACTAACAAGGGTTAATGAAGAAGGAGCCCAAACGAAAGTAGGCTGAGAAGAAACATCAGCTGAGTTTGGTCCCAGAGTGTTAACAACCAGCGCTATGTGTTGGTTGGTTGACGATGTAGATAAAACCGAAACGGGAGTCAATAGAGTTACTGGCTGTTGTACAGAGGACAAAGGAGACGTCTTTACTTCCTCAGACACCTCTGTCATCTTAGCAACATCACCATCATCCTTCACAGTTGCAGCACTTGAGGGCAAGGCCAATCCAGACTCTTCACTGAAATCATCACTACTAGTAGTAGCTGTAGTGGGTTTCACGAGAGGCGATGTGAAAATAAGATCACTTCCAACGCATGACCTGTGGCTAGACGGTGATCTCAAGACAGAAATTTCAGGCTCTTTAAATTGCTTTTCAGTTGTTACAATCTCCTCAGTCAATTCAACCTCTATCTCTCTTTCTTCCTGTGTTTCCGTGACCTCAATTTTAGGCTCAACATCAGGAATACCATTTTCTTCATTCTCACACAATAACTGTTCTCTTTCCATTTCTTGTTCAACAAAAGGGGTTATCTCCTCAATAACTTCTTGGTCAGAGGTTATTTGTTTCTCTAATAATGGCAAATGCTCCTCCTCTTCTTCTTTAATATCACTTTTTTCCACACTTTCAAGAGGACTGCAAGATCGACTTATCTGTGGAGTTGAAGTTGTAGACGAAGAGATTGAACGTCCACTGCGTCGTCGATGAGATTCATGGAAAAAGACTGATCCATTTGAGTCAGATTCATTAGCACTTTCGTTCGAAGAGTAGACTGTAACCGCCTTTCTAACGCGCTTTTTCGTAGCTGCTGTTTTTGACTTTGTTGGGGTTGCCGCCATTTCTTCACTCCTACGCCGCTTTCGTGAAACAGGAGTAAATCGTTTCCTTTTAGTAGGGGGCAGAATTTGTCGACTGTCCGAATCAGAACTAGAACCTCCTTCGCTGTCAGGTCTTTTAAGGCGCGATTTTTTACTCGATCGATGAGAACTAGACTCAAGAGACTCGGGTGTTAAATGTGGTGGCTTGGTGCTTTGTGATTCTAAATCGCCCCCATTTCCCACTTTATGCTTTCTGGATTTAAGCAGGGACTTAAGTGCTTCTGGCTTAGACTCAAATTTCTCATTCGAAGTGCATTTATTTCCACGTCTCTTAATTTTATCATACATTGTTTCATACTGACTAACACCATCTGTAAGGTCGTCTGTTTTGAGGAATTCAGAGGAGATACTGCCGCCCCCGCCATGTGGCTTCCAGGCAAACTCATCACTCTCCTGCCTCTTTCGCCTCAACTTCTTCTTGCTCCTCACACTCGAATCCTCTCCTCCCTTAATACGATTTCCCGATTCGTTATGAGGAGATATTACCGATTTCAAAGGGGGCGCAGAAGTGCTAGTGGATTTTTGTTCCTTTTCTGCAACTTTCTCTGACTTGGGTAATTTTTTGAAATGAAGCTTATTCCGTTCAAAGGGTGTTGTGGGAGGGGAAATAAGCTGCCTCCTAGGTTGTTGTGTAAATTGGCCTTCACGAGCCTTTTTGGACTTCAAAGGAGAGGTACTTCTTTCTACGGGTTTCGAAAGTAAAGGAGGAGGAGGAGGCGACGAAACACCGTTCGATTCATCAACCTTCTCATTTATAGACAAAGATTCTGCAAGCACCGATAACTTTGGCGATTTGGGCGAAATATTGGAAGCAATTGAAGTATTTGGCTTGCGTTTAGTACCAGTGTAGGGAACATCATTGAGAGAGGGTCTAATCGACGATGGAGGTGATGCAATTTCAGGAATTTGCATATTTGCGGCGTGAACAGATGGTGATCCCTTCTCAGAACGTAAAATTCCCTTCTTTGAGCCAGACTTAATTTTCTCGGGGAATTTACAGCTTGAAGGAGGAATTGACTGTATTGAAGAAGCACTATATATCGGAGATAAGAGAGACCTTGGTGTAGAAGGCTTTAAATCCACTCTTACCGATGGTGCTGCCGTGATGGGACTCAAGAGAGTTTTATCTAGAATGGAAACGGGAACAGAAAGTGGTGTTATGTGAGAAAGTGAGGGGTGGTTGGTTATAGGAGGTGGGTCTATGATAGTAGCTGTCTTTGAAGACCTGCCCGTAGAAGAAAGCATATTCTTAATAAATTCAGAAGTATCTGTCCTTCTCGGAACATTTGTGAACCGCGTTTCCGATGTCCCCAGTGTATTGGCATCAGGAGATGAAAGATGGAGCAAGTGAAAGGGGGATTTTTTCACATCTACAGCAGAAGACGCAACAGACTGAATAGACGAGGAACACCCTGTATTTGTAGACGGGATGTCACTTCTTCGTCGAATGCGGAATCTGCTATAATCCACATGAGGTCGAGTTTTAAACTGTTCATCCAACTGGCGAATTCGTTCATCGATGGATGTGGATGTTAGGTATGATTCCAAGCCAGTTTGTTCAGAATCTGAATCCAAAGGTTGTTTGGCAATAGAGTAGGATGAAAAGGGAGGAAGGCTGAGTTGGAAAGTTGGAGAGTTTCGTATCAGAGTTTCGTCATCAAAAGATGTTCCTGTGTTAGACTGGGAGGGAGATACATGAGGAATGGAGTCGAAGGTTGTCTGATTAGGAGAGTGATTGGGCACCCCGGGGGATGGAACCACACCCGAAGCTAATCGGTTGGTTAGTGGTGGAGGTGGTGGTGGAGGGGGTGGTGGTGGTCCAGAGAGTGTCGCTATAATTGGGGAAGACGTCCTGTCCGGAGGAATTAGAGAGGAGTTGGGAGAAAAAATTGCATCTCCAGGATCACTACTACTACTTTGACCTGCACTGCCAACACTTCCGGAAACTGGAAAATCGGCTCCTCCATCAATTGTTTTAGGGGGAACTTGAATCGGGTCAGACTCGAGCAATAATGTTGGTCCATTCGTACCAGGCTCCATACTAAAATGGCAAGCAAATCTGCTAACGACTTGCAAAGTACAAAGTATCACGTAGTCTTAACAAATTGAACACTAAGTTCTAATATTTTTTCAATACAGTTGCAGTAGTGTCACCCTACATATGGCAAATTAACTAGCAAAGATGAACACGAACAGTCTCGATTTGTCACATTAACGACACACTCCTCACCTTCTTTTAGTAGATCGTATGCTGTCCACAAGACAAACTACAATGTTCTTTCTAACAGAGTTATTTAACGTTACCATCTCCCGCACGCCACCTTTTGGTACATAAAAACAGGTTCTGGAGTAGTGCTTAACTAACAATGGCTTTCACCCGAGAAAAAGTCTTATGGCATTACAAAATTCTTACCCGTCATAACCATGCTGAGTAGAGGATACGACCTCCGTTTTCTTCTTGGTGCTAAGCTGATTCAGCTTCATCAGTAACTCGTACCTTTCTCTATGAAGTTTTGACAATGTATCTCCATTTGACTCGGAGGTTAGAGGAGTCTTTGGTTCTGGCAACTTGGTCCTATTATTTTTCGAGGATGGGATGTGAGAGTCACCACTTTCTGCATCCATAGATGACTTAGGGGGTTGATTCGACTCCGGTGTGGAACCTGTAGATTCTCGAAGATAACGGCGGGAACTGGAGACCATTTGAGGTGATGTTGGATCTTCTCTACTGTGTCTATGACGCTCTGAACTCACTCGATGAGAGGATTTCCGTCTATTGGAGGATCTCTGGTGTTCTGACGTATGCTTATGAAAATGAGAAACATCACGTTTCAGAGATTCCGGTTTTCGTTCAACAGATGAGGAATCACTACACGTTGATGCAGCATATTGAGACCTTCGACTACTGCTCCATGATGGCAATTGTCGGTGAGGACTAATTTCAACGCTATTATATCCAACAGAATGTTGATAAGATCCGCCTCCATTCGACATTCCACGAGGACAATCGTAAGTAGTTGGGGCCACAGATTTTCGAGATTGTACGTATTTTGAACGGTCTCGTGAAGAGGACTCATGCTTGTAACTAGGTAATCCAATAAGACTGGAAAGCAGACCATTGCCACTACCACTACCCCGAAAACCAGATATAGAAACGTTATTAAAATCCCTAGAAGGGGAACTCCGAGAATATACAGAACTGCGGCTTGGGGAAACATTCCGGGAACTGCAATGATGTGAAGAACGACTGTATCCATAAGATTTGTTCAAGCGCGAACTAGAATTGGCTAATCCAAGCAGGGCCGCAATCTCCTTATGCCGTAGTTTCTGAAGTCTAAAAAGACGAAAATTTGCGTCAAATAAGTGGCTATAAAGATTCAGCAAAAATAAAGATCGACATACCCTCGACCTTCTTCCAGGTAACCCGCCAAACCCCCACCGCCGCCTGGAATGCACGCTTCAAGAAGTTCTCGCCACCTATCACCGTACTTTCCAAAAAGATTTTCTCGCGGTTGGGATTTTTCAATGAAAGCTACCTGACACTCTACGGATGCGAAATCAATTTGAACCTTTTTGCCCAGGAGAGATCTATTCCGTGTCTCATTTAAGGCCCTTTGGGCGGCTTCGGCAGCGTCAAAGTAGAGCAGCGCTCGACCTAGCTTCATATCAAGTGCAATATCCTTTAGACGACCGTAACGACCAAACTGCCGAGAAAGGAAATTTTCCGTAACATTTGGTGAGAGATTATCCAACCAAACGACACTACAAGGCTGGCTTTTCCCGAAACCCAACTTCACTGGTTTCCCATCCACCGTCACTCTTTCCTGGTCACTAAGAGCACGAACGACACTCTTAATGTCCGTAAATTGAACGAAGGCATAGGAAGTTCCAGGTTGATTCGTTTGCATTTTGATATCAATTTCGATAATTTCTCCATAATCCCGAAAGACGCGCATTAATTCATCTTGAGTAATAGTGACAGAGCAAAGATTTCCAACAAAAAGGGTTTTGGTCGCTTTAGGGTGATATTCATCTAAAGCATGCTCGGGAGGACAGAGGTCAGGATCTTCAATATCTAATCCCTCTACAAGTTCCGCATGGACAGAAACACCAAAAAATACCTTGTCTCTAGAATGCTCACATGCTTTTTCAGCGTCTTCACAAAGTTTAAAGGTTATATGTGCGTAGCGACTGGAACCTGAACCTCGAATAACCAACGAGGTAATTTTCCCATGCTTTTTGTATTCATGAAATAACCCTTCTCGCAGATTAGAATCCGAGGACCGGAGTGATAAGTGGGTAATTTTTAATCCACGAAGACCACCTTCCCTTTGATTACTTCCTGATTTGGAGGAGCGACTATCTAATTCACCGTTGCATTTTCGATGATCTCGTTTGATTGGGGAATAACTTTTCTTATTGGTCATGAACCGAGATGAGCTGTGTGAACTGCAGGAAGAGGATGTACTTTCTGTATCAATCTCTCCCGCAACACTTTTTGAATCAGCGACGGAGTCAGATCGCTGATCAGATTTTTGTTCGTTAAGGAGAGTATCAGCAGACTCACAGTATTGTAACTTTAGAGGGATCTTGTGCAGTTTAATACCGCTCTCTATAGCTTTAGATGCAGATCTACTGTCGACAAACGTAACCATGGCTCCATCATTTACTAATTTTATACATTGAATTTTGCCATAACTAAAATGGAGAAAAGATGCATTATGTGAATGAAATTTGGTCGGAATCACGTTTTAAACGACACTGTACCTGTTTAGAACTCCACGTAATTCGTCTTCAGAGACAGATGTGGGTAAATTAGAAAGCCAAACGAATCTAGTTATACTTTTCATTCCTTGCATATAAATCCCTTCTAAGCATTCTAGCACACGATAGGCAAACGCAGAGCGTAAAATGAGCAGAGCTAAGCCCTAATTAGAATGACAAATTCTGCGCATGCGTTTTAGCGTAAGCTAACTACGACCTATCACGATTCAATTATGCACTCATTGGCCAGTTTTCACAAATCGATGTACGCGCCTTGGTGTAACCTACGTGATCGACCAATCAGTAGAACAGGGCGTGCAAACCTTAGCCTGCATCAAACACATTGATTTGGCTTACTGCAGTATGAATTCAGGTTGTGGATTTCTGCCTTGTGTTTACAGTACTGCAGGGCTGTTACCGCTTCTGTCATGTTCTTTGGATCTGCCTTTTTGTGGGGATTATTCACAATATCTGGAATAAATTCACGGAAGTATATGGGATCTTTAAGTCCACATGTGGAATTTAATCATATTGGAAATTACGTACAATTTCGAGGAATATATTTGGATATATCTCAAGACTCTGGATTCTTATTCACTCAAGATGAGATTATAGCACCAACTTTTTGTAAAATTTTGTGGGGGACTGATCTAGTAGTGCCATAACAGTACCAGTTTATACCGACACTAGATTAAGATATAGTAGAAGATTTTGCTAGATTCTGTTGCAAAGGTGCAGCTCTCAAGAGTTTTCAATAGCTGTGATGAAATGGCCTAGTTTTTTTCTGTAAGTCACATCTAAGGCACAATATCGTATCGCTGATGATGTGCTTAATTTGTGTTGGTAATTTTCTACCTTGTATCCATCTGAATTAACTAGAATTTTCACATTACACTTTAGATTTAGTGTTTGGCTTGCTTTAAGTCTGCCCTAAGGTTACCTGGTTCGACTTAATTACTAACCCGTTTTGCGTATAATCCATCCAACTTCGTTCGTTCAGTAGGCATTTTGGTTAAGTCGCAATTTATGCGCTTTTTGAAGTGAGTCACTGCTGGATTCTTGGATTAATCAACGTAGCTCTCATTCATTGGCTATTTCCAGCTGTTTGCACACTGTCCTCACATGTCTGTCTATCGCCACAGCACGTATGTTTTCCAAACCATCTTGTGGGCTAGACAGAAAATGTAGGGTCAAATTTTGCTACCCTAACTGCAATAAATTTCGCCCTTAGCTTCTATTGCGCACTGCGTAGTTTATCGATTTATTGTAGAGCATTAATTTTGCGTTAGCAAATCTCGTGGAATTTTGCTACTACTTTAAACCAATTACTGGTAAATCTCTGTGTATTTGCTGCCTCGTTACGCTTGAATATAAACAATGAACTGAATTAAAATCTCATAACTTATGCAAGTTTTTCATCGGTTCATGGCACACAAGCATGAGGATTATGTACGAAAATGTGTAAACACTAACCTATGAACTCGTTTCTACGCATAGATGTGAAATCTATTGTCTAGTTTAGGACAGTTACAAAATTCCAACCTTACGTTGTCAGTATATTATTGTTGTCTATAAAGAATAAGCAAGATTGTTAGTTTTACTGGCACTATTTCATAAATCTTTGAAGTCAATCAGATTAAATGAAATGTGCAGAATAATTTCCTTGATATTTCCTATTGAATGTGGATGTCTCGGGAATTTCGGAATAGTGATCACTCTAGAAAAATCAGTGGGCTTAATCAAGTTGTGAAGGTGCTATTTCAATTCATCTATTAATTTCGAATTTGCTTGAAGGAAGTTGCTTCTCTAGTAGTCACGGATTCGATTCGCGTTATTTAATGAACGGAAAAAACTAGCGATAAAGGATTAATGAAAAATGAATTTTTCATTTGAAAGACCTCAAACTATCTAAATTTCTGTGGCGCTTTATCTCCAAATAACTCCCTAAGTTAACTTGGACTTATTGTTCTTATTCGCATTCATAATCACCTTCCGTATTTTTCAAATTTTAAGGTTTTTCCTTCAAGTCGAATAGTTAGGTGTATTCAGTGATTAAGAAGTAAAACACTGCAATTATAATTTACTTATGTATATCAGTAATCGGATAGGCATACACTATTACAACGAGCAGCCCTATTAGTAAGTACGATTTACCTTGTACCTTTACGAATAGAACATTAAAGCCCACTCGAGAGATCTTTATTGGAGGTTAATTCACTGCTAATATTCTTAAACTTATTACAAAAGGTTCCAATGCTGCGCTTAGGTAATTTTTAAAAAAAATCGATCTCATATTTTATTTAACGAGGTTATTAAGCATTCATAGGTAATTGTATTACTACTACGCGCCTTGATTTGTTTAATTCTATTTTGTTAAATCTTACCAAAAATTTAAAATTGAATAATACATACCTTAATCTCTCACTTGATTCCTCATTTCAGAGCTTTGTCCTATTCAACTAAATTTTGTCATTTTACAAAAGAAGTCATATTCATCAAAGTTTTTTATGTATTGCTCCCAGAGGAGCTATAATAAGGTTGATTTCACATTCGACAGTGCTGTTAATTTTCGGCTTGGTTTGTAGTTTCGGGCATTGTTAATTAAATCAAATTAGGCTCATCAGTTCCAGGTTTGCTATTAAATAACATTTCAACTGTACTATACTAAGTTACGTTAAAATGCTCAAACCATTGTGAAGCAGTTTACTGTTTCTATCCAAAAATATTCCACTTTATATAACGTTAAGATAGCTGCAAAAAACGGCTCAGAATTTGTTTACAGAAATCGCTTAATGCACAGCAGTCTTAGTATTGATCAGAGCACATGCTTATCCTGTTTGCCCTCAATTTGCTATTCTCGGATCTTCGCTTTCTGATTATAATCTAGAAAATTTCTACGTTTAGAAATTACATTTCGGAGTTGCTTTTCAATCGCTCTCTCTCCATTCACTAACCTCTTTCACTTATGACTATTTTTCATGCAATGCCTTTATACGAAAGTCGTAATTTGTTGGTTTCAACGCTCATACTATAATCAGGATAGCACACAAAAGGATTACTCTTTGCCATAAACTGAGCTTAACATTCATAAACGCAAAATCTATATTTGTTGTTCACGTCACGATTTTTGGAGTACTGATAAGTTTCAATGTCTTTTTAGCTTGATGTTGTCACTATTTCTAAAACGATTTGATAATCTCGTAGTTGGTAATATTTTTAAAGCATGAAGATGTATATATACTAAAAGTTGTTACCGAAAGTATTATCGAACTAAAATTCTGTTATATTTAAATGTAGAATTATGTCTATGTATCCATCCACTTATTGGACTTTGGTAAGCATTTTCTTAAGTTTTTCAAAAAAAATTGAATCGAACATATATAATTGATGGTTAAATTGAACTATCTTAGCTCAGTACTGATATTTTCATTACCAGAACATTTAAATAGAAACAAAAACACCTTAGCTAAAACCCCAACTGTTTGACCTTTTATTAAAGTCCTACCTTCAATTATTATAATAAGAGTTCACTCATTGAAACATCAAACATTGTAGTTAACCAAAGTGAACTTCTGAAAGGACTTTGTCAAATATTGTGTACGGTGTCTTTATAATTAGTTTAATATTCCATCTCAGCCGTATTGGAATTCAACTCGTAAATTGACAGTCCTATTGTTCTTGTTCATTTACCCTGATGCGCATACGAATGTAGCTTCTCACACCGAATGTTCTAGAGCCCATTAAAATAATCGTGCAACGTATTTAGTCCCGTTTATCTTATTTATTTATTTATTTATATCAAATGGTAGGCGTTTTGATGGTTATAATTAGCCCTTTAGTTGACTTCAGGCTTCACAGAGGGGAAGGAACATCAAAGTGAAAAAAGTCAAGAGGAGGGGAACTGAAGAGTGTTTCAAAGACAATGATTGAAAATTTAGCAAAAAAATGTGATGTAGTACTGTGAAAGTGGTCGAATATGTCATACAGTGGGGCCTTGGTAGTTTGAAGTCAACTGCCGGTTAATAGACATTTTTGCCGTATGAGTCACGTTTCCAAGCCATTTAATAGACATTTTTGCCGTATGAGTATACGTTGCCCAGGTTGCCACGTGGAGGTAAGTCTATCGCACACAGATAGATCCCTTGCTATATTTATTCGCAGGCTTCGGGAACACGCATTAGGCCATTAGAAATCAACCCTGGCTTTGTCAATATGCGGAAACTTAAATGAAACTGACTTCGCAAGTGCATGAGTTATATTTAGCCTAATGGACGATATGTCATTGCATGCGGTACATAGAATGGAAAATAATGAGAATATTGTGTACTTGTGGAACGCCAACCTCCTCCTACTCGTTGAACACAATTCACTAATAATGAATAGATCCTTGAAAATATAATTGAGAAAACCAACCTTTTGTTATTGAATTTAAATGGATCCTCACACTGCCCATTGTGTATTTTGGCAGCAACATTATCTTCTTACGGTCATTTAAATTACCGACTATTCAGTTATACTACGTCATTTGTTCCAGAATGTTCTGTGTGTAAATATGTTATTCTCTTTAAACTCCTTTCTTGTTTAACAAGGTGTAAACAAGCACCTGTCTATGACCTAGACAGTACTCTACGAACCATGCTACTAATTTGCTACATTTAGGGCTTCAAACCTTTTTTGTTGCTTTAAGTTTAATCTTGTTCTAGTTATACAAAATAAAACTGTGCGCCTGTGTGTATTTTGGGTAAAATCCACAATATACTCGGAAGGGTAGCAGAAATATTGCCACTACTACTATTTACAGGAACGTAAGTCAGCCTGAAGGCCTTCGAATTTAATGCAGTAATTTTAACCATAAAATGTAAAATCACGAAATACTGGCCTAGGATGACTAGGTTAGATTTGGAGAAAAATATATCAAAAAATATCTGCACGGTGACCTAGGGCATGTGGAAAGTGGAATCACAAATCTAGATTTAAACCGAAAATGTTTATGTGATAGTCAGAAGGCCAGAATTGTAGTAATACTGAAAGCCATTTTTAGCGGCTATCCTGAGCTATGCTCGACTAGAACCCAAGCAGAAAATAA